GTAGTTACTTCCCACGGACTGCAGCCCGCGAACTGAAGACTGCACGTGCTGGGTGTGGGAAGCTATGTGGGAAGATGGAACGTTTGTCACCAGAAACTGATTCAGCTTCCTCTAGTGTGATGATTAACCTACTCACTTCGACTTCACTGACCTGGTTATCAACAATTAATATGCAAGGATTCTCTTACAGATTAAGAAAACTATCTCTGTGCTATCATCCTTGAGAGATTTTTACAAGTAAAATAAAATACTCGTTTCTTTTTTAATTGACATACAACATGGTGTAAGTTTAAGGTATATAATGTGTTGATTGATACTATCCATGTTTCCTTTTTAGAATACCAGGCAGTCTCCTTTTTCCAGAAATAAAAAAATGGAGATTCATAGACTTCCTCTTAAAAAGGCTCTTCCTGTCCTAGGACATATCATGCTGTATTACGATTATGTTGTTTATTTCTCTACTTTCATTATTTCTTTGGATACCAGTGAGTTTGAGGTTAAAGACCTTCCTACACTAATCGATAATATTTTCTACTCTGTGAAATACGTTATATTTTCTACCCTGTAAAATATTTACTAAAGTCTTAGCGTTTTACTCAGTGACTTGTGGGTTATAGATGTGTTAAAATCTTAATCCTTTGTTATATTTCTTATAACTATTCTTTACAGGTGTCTTCTGCCTTTTAATTTTGTCCATTTCTTTGACATATAGAAATATAACACTTCTATGATGTCGACTCAACTTTTTTTGTGTGATTTCTATTATTATGTTTAAATATAGGAGATTTGAACAATTGCATAAAATTAATAGAGAGAGTAGGAAACAAGAAGTTGCAAGTGTATTTTTATCATAGACGCACCAAAGACTTTCCTTGGCCTTTTTCAAAGACCTTCTGTAGTACTATTTATTCCTTTCCTTAACTTCAGCATCTAACTCACACAAAGAAATATCATTACTATTTATAACAGTAACTCATATATAAGTACTTTGATGATAAATTCATAGCAACCTTAAGTTTCAAGTAAGAATAAATGCTAATCACCAGGAAAGCGGGATTATTTAGTTTCCGTGGCATTCCTGTCCTCATGGTTAAGCAGACTGATTCTGAAGACAGAGGGACGAGCGCCAACACTGACAAGATGGGAAATAAGCTCCTGATGGGCACACAGCTGCTCCAAATGACTGTCCAAATAATTGGACCTACAGGTCTTAGAACCTACTGATGAAAGAATTCAGCCACTGTCAACAATCTTCAGGACAAATTTTGCTCTTATTACTATTACATGACAGAGAACATACTAGGATCTTTTCACATATTATTCCTAATCTCCACAGAATCTTTCAAAATAAGAATTCTACAGATGAGAAAACAAAGGGTCAGAAAGGTTAAATAAGTCACTCAAGCTTACCTAGTGTGTAAGTGGTGGAGCTGGGATTTGAACCCAGATCTCTGTGAGGCTAAAAAAAACTATATTTTTCCTACCATGTCAGGCTGCCTTCCAGAACCCCATCTACTTCATATAAAGAGTTTCCAACATGAAAGGCACAGTTATCTCACTTACCTACAGTTATAAGTTTGATATTATCAGTCATTTGATATTGATATTGCTGGTAAGATTTAAAACTGGTAGTTAAAAAGATGGTTTTGAACAATAGGGAAAGGACTCGATCACTAGGAGCCAGTAAGGCTTTGCTAGGAGTAAATCATGCTTACTTATCTTCACTTCCTTTTTAATTTGGTCAACAGCCGATAGATTAGCTGCTACATCAGAGGAACAGTGGAGTTATTCAGACAGGCACTTGCAAAAATCTTTCTTATCCTATTTCATGAACAGTCTGAGCTAGATGATAATATAATTCAGTGCACTCCACCCAAAGAACTTTGACTAATGGGCTGATGTTGTTGGACCAAACTTTTCTGATTTATTAATTTACCAGGATAAGGACTTGGATGATATCAACTCTGCTGATGCTATAAAGCTGGGAAGGAAAGCTGATATATGAGATGGATGAATCTAGATGCAAGGTGGTTTCAACAGACTGGAATGATGAGCAGATCCTCATGAGTTGAAATTTAACAGAGCTGAAAGGGAAGGTCTCCTCTGTGTTCCAGGAAAAAGTACTCAAAGATTAGCTGGGGGACACGGTGGCTTATAGATTTTGGTGAAAGAGACTCAGGAATCATGTACATGAAGAGCCAGGCGATGGCAGGATGCATGGACCTCAGTGCAGGATCTGAGTGAGGACGTTCATGGCCCCACTTTGCCCCTCGGTTACGGCAAGGCTCCTACTGGGCTTTCAGAGGACCTCTGATAAACAGAACCTGTCGTTTCAATCATGTGGGTTACTCATGTGTCTCCCATCACACGAGCAACAGTTAAGGGAAATGGAAAGGTTTAACCTAGAGACGTAGGGGAGACTGAATGTGTGTCACTAAGCTTCTGATGGGCGAACGTGGAGGAGAGACATGGAAAAGGTACTTGGTATTAGGTAGGCTTGGAGAGTCGAACCAAGAGGGGAAGGTAGATGAGGGCAGACGTTGGCTTCATATAAGAACTTTCTTTTTTTTTTCAATTTGTAAAAATTCTTTTTTGAGTGGGTAATCAGGTTTATTTATTTATTGACATATAATCAATGTACAATGTTGGCGTTAATTTCTGGTGTACAGCATAGTGATTCATTTATACATATGCATTTATTTATTTATTTATTTATTTATTTATTTATTTATTTATTTATTTATTTCGTGAAGGTACTGGGGATTGAACCCAGGACCTCGTGCATGTTAAGCACATACTCTACCACTGAGGTATACCCTCCCCTCAGGGAAGAACTTTCTAACACAGCCATAGAAAAGTAAAATGAACTATTTCAAAAGAGTCAGTCCCTTAACCTAGAACTCTTGCTCAAGCAGAGGCAGGATGACTGACCATTTGGGAACAATGCTGCAGGGGGGATTTTAGCATAAAATGGAGGTTTGATCAACGACTATCAAGATTCTTACTCAGAGATTTTACAACATTCTGAAAATAAAACTTAGCCTATGCAAAAAGTGTAGCTGATGTTAGAAAAAAAAATGATGTGTGAAAAAGAACAAAGAGCATAAAAATTCTAAAATAAATAAGAAAACATGAATTAGTTATATCACTTAAGCTTGTTTCCTAAAACTCTAGCTATTCAGTTTATTTATCTGGCTTAGTTCCCAAACCCTGTCAGTGCACCTGAAAACTCACTTCTCTGGTCACATCTGGAAGCCTTTGATTTAGTAGATCTGGGCAAACTGCGATTATAAAAAAAAAATTTTCCTGGTGATTCTGGTTCAGGCAGCTTTCGAGAACACTGAAATTCTAGACTTCTTATAGGAGTACTTACATTTTGCATAAAATGTATGTATGAATGTATGTGTCATGCTTAAAAAAACTTAATAATAATGATTCTAATCTGCCTGTTAATATTTCAGGCCACTGCAGTTTAATATTTAAGCACCACTTCTATTCTGGGAGCAAACCTGACTTCAGTATTTATTGTAAGTTCTAACATCTTAGAACTTAAAAGTTAAAAACGTCACATCTCTTTCTTTTTAACTTTTAACATACTGAATAGACCATTTCTAGCTTTTCAGCATTTCTTAGATAACATGTTTCTTAAAGTAATAAGATTCCTTTCTAAACAAATAACAGGAAATTAGGGAAAAAATAAGAAAATGGATGTTGCTCACATATATATAGTTTTTAGCTTAAATAACTTTTTTTTTTTAAAGTTCCCACTTGGATAGGCAAAGTCTCAGAAAATGTGAAAAGAAGTCATGCCTGGTTAAAGTTCACTAAGAGCTTACTTGTATTAGTAAAAGTCAGTGTGGGGATATTAAATACATCAATATTCAATTTCTTAAAATTATAAATATCAAAACTTAAATGTTTCCTTCATCCTTCATGTTCAACTTACACATCTCTTTATTCTTTTTATAAATCTAGTAAATAAAAAAAATTTTTTTTAAGGAAGGGTTTAGCACTTAAGTCAATTAAATTCAAGGTGTTCAATTTTAACATAATAAGCATGGCATTATGAAAGTATTGGTTAAATCATGATGCCCTCCATTTTCAAAGAAGGAGACTCTTCCAAAGGTTGGTGATAATTTGCAAGCATTTCTAAGTGAAGGCTGTTAACAACAAACTCCTTTCCCCGAGGAATATGTTAGGGATCCTGGTGGCCATAAATCTGCTTCCTGTCTGCTCTCATAAGGGGCTTTGGACACAACAGAACTCCATCATCTAACACCCTTTGATTCGAGGGAAAAACCCATTGCCTATGACTTTCTGGACTTTGAGGCTAATGGTTTCTAAGATTTGTTTCTGTCTAAGGCTTCCTTCCCTCCCCTCCCAGAGGACACAGGGACATAGTGAAAGAAGAAAGAAAAAAAGAAAGAGATGACTCTGTAGTTAAGTTTCCTGTACAGCGAAAATCCACAGTTATTGAAGATTTGGAAGAAATGATGAATTAGAATGAAGGCATCGTACAACACATCCAAATTCAAAAGAAGGGGACTTTTCAGTATATACAGCCAAAGAAGCAATGTCAGGTGACATTAGCTGTATTTCTAAAAGTTAACTTTGGAAAGCCATTTTTATTGAAAATACTTCTTGTGCAGACTTTACATTAATTTGATGTGATAACAGTGACAGTGTAATTATTGTTAAGAAACCTAATACAAAAATCCTTTTACTTGGTTTCTTGGAGTCTGGCAGGTTGTCCCATGCTCCTCACAGGGCAGATGGTCACAGACGACAACGAACTGGCCAATCAGACAATGCTGAATTTTGGTCAGTGTTTACCAGAGGAGAGAAGAGAGCTTTACCAAATTCTAAATTAGAATTGATAACAGAGAAGAGAACTTCTGAATCACCTCTCCTGGTACATCTACAATTCCTTTGAATCATGATTTTGACAAGTGAAATATTTTCAAAACTTTTCCTCTAGTGGAGGGCGACGTTCTACTTACAGACGCACAAGACGATGAGAAAGAGGAGGTACGTGGCCAGTTCTCGCAGGACACTTTTAAGGTATTTCTCTCGGTTAGTGCTGCTTTCCTCCATGAGTCTTGTTCCCCAGAGACCTTGAAAGTAATAATAAAAGAGGTCATTTTGTTTAGAAAAATCTCATGAATGGCAAAGAGAAAATACATTTAAAAATAGTATGTCTTTAAGGGAAATTCTCCTGTTTGTTTTTTAGCAAGCTCTGAATGCAACTGAGAAATTGTTTTAGCAGGAATATTTTTAATTTGGGAATACATGAGCCTTTCTTGTCCCAAGGCAATGATCTGATCATTGTGTAAACTCCCAACCTCATTAGAAAATACCTTAGTAGAAACGTAGAAAGAGGAGAGGAAACCTGGGCAGCCCACAGGAGCAGGTTAAATACTTGTGCTCTTCCCTATGTGGGAGGAATTACCGTTATGACTAAATCAATTTTCCTCGTTGGTACATGATGTAATTACATTGCAAATGATACCTTTTAGGTCACCCTTGATGAAAAGAAGTCCTGGTTGGAGCACCATTTCATTATGGAAACATCTATCAAGCTTCTAACACACTAGTGTAAAATCTACTCTGTACCCATTTTTGCCCTTTAAGAAATTCAATGCTGCCTGACTACACTAAAGAGATTTTTTAAGTGCCAATTAACATGTGTCTTTTAAATTAAAAGCAACAACTCAGCCAACTTCTCTCTCTCTTTGGGGAAAGGGTAAAATCAGCAACCGTGTTCCGTATTTTTGCAGATGGAAAAAGTGCTGGGCCGGCTGAGCGAAGATGACATAACCCTTGGTGAGCTGGCCGGACAGAGTTCCCGCAGTTTTGGATGCGGCCGGCAGACAGACACGGTGGCCGTCCAAACCCCCACCAGTGAACGGTGTGGTCAAGTCGCATTGCTGGTTACTTGGAAGAGCCTTAACATTTTCCAAAAAAGACAAACCTCTCAATCCTTTCAGTGAGATTGGGTCGGTCGGCTGATAATGGCAAACTGCCTCAGACTTTAACCTCTTCGATCACGGAAACTTCACTCAGGCCACAATCAAGCCACATAGAGAACAGGGGGAAAATGGTACATGGTCTTTCCCTTGGAAGAAATGACTTCATCACCAGTGTTTACGTACTTTCTGAGTCTTATAATAATACATTAGTTCTCCTAAATTGGGGTATTTCGTTTCATTTTCTTTTTTCTCCCCAGCATCCACACTCAAAGACACTGTGTTACGCATCCTAGGCTTCTCCACGCTGAAAGCGGAGCTTAACTTATGACCAGGTTTGCTCCTGCCAAGATCTGGTAGTTGTCAGGGAATTACTCACTCCGAAGAAATGCAGCGAGCACAATGTTTGTTCACTGAAACCCTATCATATTAAAGAATTATTACAAATTTAGATGACATGGAAAATTACAACTCACAATAACACAGAGGCAGCCAAGTATTAGGCTCAGTAGCCCTGGACACAACCACACCATTTCTCTGGGTATCTTTCTTTCGGAGGCCAGGCCTAAAATATACACAGAAGTGGAAATTGCTCATCTTTCTACCATCAGGAGAGACTACTGCCTTGCCTCACTTGGTCAGTGATTTCACTCTTTCTCATGGTTTAGAAACAATTATGCACTAAGGAATAATCATGGTTCTTAATATTTATAAATGGTTTTGCTTGACCTATAAATAGAAAAAGCAAACTCGTGTCAAATTTTATTCAAGCTAAATTTGCGACGGTCTATGGCAATTTAACGCTAGCCCTTGAATGAAACATTTCAAATGAAAAGAAACAAGTCCTCTTATTCATATTTTATATACTTCTATATATTCACTTTTTCTAAATTGCTCTAGCTACCTCCTCAAACATTCATTACTTTAAAAATGTCATCCAGTTTCTTCACTGGACGTGGATGGAGGATACAGGGACCCCTTCACATTCTGATGGGTGAGAAACAGCTGCATCCACAAATGGAAAAAATACCTGTTCTATAGCCAACTCCTTCCCACGTTTAGCAGGGATGATAGAATAAGAATGCTTAAGGGCAGAGTTCATGTCCAAAATGACAGCTTTCTTCAAAAGGAACTGTTATCTTTTCTTGCAACTGTCCCAGCTGCAGAGGGGGTCCCTTCCCAGCACTCCAGGCACTCACGTCCAGTACAGGACATGTCCATCTGTTAGGAGACCATGATATGAGGGACACCAGACAATATCCAACTTCCTTCCTGTGTAAGAGGGTGCTTAGCTAATGCCAGAGCCTAAATTCAGACCACATCACCTCAACAGTGTTATTCATATGAATACAGGGGAACCCTCAGATGGAGAACCCAAGACACCAAAGATGTCTCAAACATAAGTAACTGACTTAGAAAAAATGCCACGTTGCAACGATTTTATCCAAATGCTTCTAAAACCTTTTTATTTTGCAATATATAAGAAATATCAGAAAGAGAGAATGATATAATGAACTCCCATGTATTGCTCACCTAGCTTCGACAATTATCAACTCAACACCAACTGATTCATTGAAACCCTCACCCATTCGTCCCCAATTTTTTGCATTTGTATATGTTTTTTAATTGAAGTATAGTCAGTTTACAAGGTGTCAATTTCTGGTGTGCAGCATAATGATTCAGTCATACATGAACATATATGTATGTTTTCGTATTCTTTTTCACCAGAAGTTACTACAAGATATTGAACATAGTTCCCTGTGTTATACCTCCCCAGTTATTTTGAAACTAATCCCAGCAATCATATCATCTCATCAGTCAACATCTGGGTTACATAGTAGAAAAGATTCAGTGTGGAAGTTTTGCCTCATATTCACCCTGTCCCACCGGAAACACACTGACCCCCTCTGACTCACTGATCATGACAAAGTGCAGCGTGGGGATCTGGAGTCAGAGCTGTGTTCAAATAAAGGCTCAGGAACTTAGGAGCTGGGAGACTTTACCAACACCGTGAGCCTCCGCTTCCCCACTGGGAAATAGGGTAAGAGTACTTCTTTGTGGGGCTGCTCTGAGAGTTAGAAATAGTATGTGTACAGCATGTTGAGTGGCTGGAAGAGGCCCATTTATAGCTTCAGAAACAGGTCCAAATTTGAGAAATGTCCTACTTCTGAAGCCTAGCTGGTCCTGATTTCAGAACGGCGTATAGACCCGAATCCATACAGGCTTTGAAGTCATTGTGAATAGGCTGACCAAATTCTCACTGCATTCATTTCACAGAAGAATCCTGTTGTGCTCAGACACATGTGGGCATTGTTTAGGAAGAAGAATACAATCCTTCCTAGTATTTGAGTTTCAGGGACACCCTCAGAAAGGGGAGTGACTTCCTCCTACTATTGGTCCATTTCCCATAGAACAGTCAGCTGCTACCTTATATACGACATTGACTCCTGAATCTCAAAGTCTTAGGCAGCCCTCTCCGGGATGGCAGACAAGTATGTCCTACAGCTAATGGTCAGTTCCATGAGCGTATTCCACAGACAACTCACACTCACGTGCCCCAAACTGAGATTCTTTTCCTTTCTTTCTCTGGAAACCTACTTGCCTGTTTGAGTTAATGGTACCAAGCCAGAAATACGAGTTTCATCCTAGAACAGGCCCTTTTAGTAACCTTCCCATGGAGTCGGTCCACAGTGTTGGTGGTTTTTCTCTTTAATCCAGCTTTCTTCCACTCCAGCTTACATGCCTTCTTTGCAGCCTTCGTCACTCTCCCCCCTTGGTCAGCCTTCTCCTAACTTATTCTCCCAGCAACCAGCTCTACCCACCTCACCCCATTCTCTACATTCTTGCTAGAATCATCAGATTGACATGTGATCAGAACAACCCCATGCTTGAAGCCCTCACCGATTCTGTCTACAGGAAAAAGTGCAAGTGAGCTACAGGCTTGCTTGGTCTTACTCCTGCTACTTTTCCCTCCTCAAATCCCACCCCACTCCATCCTTCTAAATATAACTCAAGCTTCACTTCCTCTAACCTCCCCTG